GCATCTTCCTCTTATTTAGACTTTCAGCCTTCTTTATGAAATGAGTCCAACCAAATACTTGCTTATTCAGTGTCAAAAATTGACAGTCACATTGACAAAGACTAAACATTATAAAGATTTTGTCAGTAATAACTTCACTTTTTGTGAAGGACTCAAGTTTTACAGTACACAGTATATGAGAAAATTCACTGAGTCTTTCACTTCCAGTACAGCCTTTTTGAAAAGCTGTGTTACAGTACACGGTGTTTAGAGTATTGGAACTAAAGGAGAAGCAAGTCTGTTTTTTTTCAAATCTATAATTTTGTTGAAACTAATAAAAACATGATAGAAGGCGGTGCACATGTTTTATCATTTGAATTGCTGTGGTCACAATAGGAAAAATAAAGAAAATGTTTATATGTGTTTGTCTTTTGCAGTAAATAGTCATCATATGTTTTTTTATTTGTGCGTGCATTTACTATTTTTAGGAGATGTGAGGCACACTTGGAGGTAGGAGGGTGGATTAAAACTGGATTTCAGATTCTTGGGACCTTCTACTTTGTGGCCAAAAGTTCTTGGCAACATTTGTATGTGAAATGTTAAATTGAATTTACTGTCTCAGTTCATAGGTAAAAGTAGAAAGTGTTTGCTGTGAATTATTTGCTGTTTGATTTGGTTAATTTTTTATGAATATTGATTTGGAATCTTAGTCATAATGTTTGGAATTTTTATTTACATTTTAGAACTTTTAAATTAAATCTGTGCTATTCTTTGCTTCCCTGCCTCTGGCACGCTTTAAGCTGGTTAAGATTACCTTTCCTCTTAGTGAAGAGTTTTTTGGCATGAGAAATATCAACTTAGAAAATTCTTTTTCATGTGTTTTGTCTTCCTCTCCTCTCCATCTGCAAATAGTGGTTATTTCTGTGAAACTTTGGTCATTTTTGTTTTAGTTATAGAAGTTGGCTTTGTCAGCTGATTTTCTGTGGAAGCAATAGAAGTTGTAGTACATGTATTTGAGGAACAATCATTCTTTCTTTTATTCTTTAGGTACCTGAAGCACTCACCTCATCACTTACCACATTCCAGATGGGAAATGGTGGCTAAGAGCAGAAAAGCAGAAAGCTGTTAAACCACCTCTTAGTTTATAGTCCCTCTTAAGACCTTTGAGAGCATATCCAGAGTAGTAAGCTTAAACTGAGTAGTAACTTTAAACTATTCTCAGTCCTGAACCACTTAGAATTTGAAATTAAATTCACACTGGCAAAGGTTGATACTGATCAGATAAACTTTGCTAATAAAAGCATAGCTTAAGAAGGTGCTGCTTTCTAGCTAAAATATGACTGTGTTTCTTATGCATATCAGTGCAGAATCAAACATGCAAGTTTGGTCATGCTCTTGAAAGTAGCTTAAATTCAGCTGTTTGACTCCACACTGGAACAAACATGGAGAGGGTCAGATAGGGTCAGCAGTAGCAGTTAAGAAGTTTAAAATAGCCTGTAATCAGGTAAACTCATTGGCCTGCTGGACAGACCTTTTCTTATTTCTTGTTTGTCAGAGGAGTAAGTGCAATGTTCCTTTCACCCTAAGCAAGCTGCTTTTAAAATTTATTTAATTTTTGTCATACTTTTATAGATTTTCATGTTTGTTTGTAATTATATTAAGAGGTTGCAGATTAAGAATACTGTCTCAGGCACAGCTGAAAGTTGAACCTATCAAAATGCACTTCTTATAGTCTCCTAACACAGCAGAAACTGTCTTAGTGCATTTGTCACTTTATATGTCCGTTTTGTTTCAAAAATTAAATTACTGACTTATTTTGGAATTTTTGTACACCTTTGGTGGGTAAGGGAAGCGATATGTGTTTGGGTTTTTTTACTGTGAGTATATGAATTCATTATTCATGTTTAACTTTCTTTTCTGTTAAAAAATACTGCTGAATTATTTTGCACAATGTTGCATTGCGAAGGTAGCCAATTTCATCTGTTCCAGATCTTGATGTGAGTTTGTGGGAAACCTCTAAATGCCTTCGTTTTCTCCCCTATACAGTGAATGAATCCAGTAGGATTTTTAGATATGGTCATGCAACACGTAGTTTGTGCATAACCCACAAAATGGACCAAAGTCACTCAGTCAGTAATTCACAACTCAGGAAGTGGTCTCCAGTTTACACCGTATCACATAACGTTCTCTTTGTGTTAGGTGAAAGTATCCATACTTATGTGCATTTATATACAAATAACACATGTTATGTGTCTCAAATAATAATGTATGCTGTGTAAATAGCCCTTTCATTCTATAAGAACCAGATACACTGACTTGTTGGCTAATTTTCTAAAAAAGAAAATTGATTTCCTTTTCTCAGTAATGTCTCTTGGGTTGTTGTGGAGATGCTTTTATTAGCACAGAGTAATATAAATCAGGACTGTACTGACAGTAGACTTGCATTAGGTCTTATAACTTATTTTGAGTTAGAGATTTTAGTAATCCAGGCTAACAGCCTAGCTTTGGTTTTTTCTAAAGAAGTTTCTTGATTATCTGATTATGTATTTTGGATGACTTTAAAGAGCCTGGAGGAGTATTTGTTAAAACAAACAATTTGAAATGTTGGAAACATACCTCAATCCAGTACAGAAGAATTCAGGCTCTGCGTCTGGTGAAAAACAGAGTTAACTCTATACATGGTGTCTCTTAGGAAAATATAGATACCCTCCAGTAGACTTACAGATGCCTCCCAAAACCAACATTCCCGGTTCCTGCAAAACAGTATTTGGGAGGGAAGGATGGATTTTTTTGTTTGAAATTTAGGTATAGTTGAAGAGGAAATGAAATAAAATATTTCAGATTTCCTGCAGGCTGAAAATCCCAATAGGGCATTTCAGGAACACCCAGCACTCTCCTTCCAAAGCAAAGCATGTTCCCTGATGCTTGCAGCTCTTCATGGAACGAACATGCTTGTCAGTCTCGTTGCTGCAATGTCCTCCTGTAGTCCGCATCATCTTGGCAGCACATTAATTGGACTGCAGCTTGCTGTAGAGAGCCCTTTCCAAGGCTGTATGAATCAAAGTGCTTGTGGGGCAGGAAGGAATCTGGAAGCATTGACAGCCCAAACTCCAAAAGGCTTCACAAAGCCTCCAGGCTCACCAGGGATGCACTTGGAGCTGGGTGTTAGTCAGAAGCTCAGAAGCAGGATTTTCAGACTTGGAGCTCAGTGACAGGGAGGTGGCAGGGTTTGACTTGAAAGTCACTCAGAAGTAGGGAGCCTTTTGAATCTTCCTAAGTGCATTGCTTCAGGAAAGAGTTCTGTTCTTCCAGGATCTATGGTTGTTGGGCACTCCTGCTGAGATCTGCCTGGGAGACCTGGGGATTGCCAGGCATTTTGTTCTAGGAAAAAATACTATGCAGGTTATGCAGCACCACCCATCACTCTCAATGAACTTTTTAAAAGTCCAGTTCTGGAATTTCCACTTTAAAAAAAAAAAAGAAGAAAACAGTGTAACATTGACCCTCAGTCAGGAGCTGCAGGGCCAGGGCCTTGCAATATGAAGTGTTCAAGTATTTGGGAAACCCAGATCCGTCCCAAGGTCATAGTCCCAGTAAAGCCAGGCATCAGCATGTTCTTCAGTCCTAGAATATTCTGCTCTGAGATTCTCCTGGATTTCACTAGAATGTTGGCTTTAATGGAGCTAATTAAAAACGGGAGACTTCAAGGCAAAAATGTTGGGGTCAATGGACAGATATTTTCCTGCAGTTTTATTTTACTGAATAACTAAACTGACTTAGCCAAGTGTATTTTTGGTGTTTGGATCTTTGGAAGCAGCAGCTTCTAACCTTGAGTTTTAGGCTGCTGCGGTTCTGTCCACTTACCTTTAAAAGCAACAAAGTACTATACTATTGGATTTAGACTTACAGTGCTTTGGAGCATTGGCAGCTTGGAACACAACTTTCTGCAGCTGCACACAGGGGAAAAAAAGTCTGTGGTCTTTTTCTTCTGTTGTAGGTTTGTTTCAGAGAAGAGAAAGGCCTTGAGTTTGCAGGCAGTCTTGGTTGGCAGAATAGCTCCACCAAACCTGCTATTCACTAAAGAAAATTTGAGCAATTCTGAAATAGCTTTAATTGATATCAAATAGCAGTTCAAGATCCAAGAGCAGAGGGGCAGGGGGATAATGAAAAGATAATCTTTAGTCTGCTTGTTTAAATTCCACCATAAATACTGCCTTTTATTTGTCTCTAATATGCTTGGGAACTGTTGAATTAATTTTACTAATAAATTGGTGATTTTTATAACAAACCAAGCCATTAAAAAAAAAAAAAAAACAAACAACAAAACCAAAACTCAAACAAAAACCCAAACCTACCAAAACCTCTTAATTAGGGTCATTTTATCCTCACTCCTTGATGGTTTTTGTCCCCATAGCCTGATTTTGAAAAAACGTATTTCCTAGATAACTAGCAAATATAATTTTAGTTGGTAGCCATACTGATATTAGTCCTAATCTATATGGCTCAGATAACTATCAAGGGCTTCAGTACATCAGCACTATCATTACAAATCTATCTGACACTTAGCATACTGATGTAGTTAGTAAAGGCTATTAACCTGTGATTTATTTTTCTAGATTATCTAGGTGAAAAATAACTCAGATAACCAATTCTGCAGTCATATCACTGTTTTAGAAGTGTATTTTAGAAACTTTTATACCCACTCACACTTCTTTTTCTTTCAAAAAGTTTAACTTTTTTCATACATTTACTTCTTTCTTCTGTTGATTCTGTTTCAGATAAAAAAAACACTTATGATTTTTGGACTGATTTAAAAAAATTAAATTTGTTTCTGAATTTTTCTTTTCCTGGAAAGTGTTTCCTTATACTTAAAAGAAGCATATGCACTGTATAGTTATTTCTGTGTAATAATTAATCTTGCCATTTTGAAATAGATATCTAGATAGCATTTTTTAGTTGTCGTAGTATCTGTAAAATGCATATGTGTGAATGAAGGAACCACTTGAACCTTTTTCTTACAGGCTCATGAGGCGACACTGGAGGCTAGGGCCAGCCCAGAGCTGAGTGATCGTATGCAGCAGCTGGAAAGGGAGGTAACACGGTATCGGGAAGAATCTGGCAAGGCTCAAGCTGAAGTGGATCGTCTTCTGGAAATCTTGAAAGAGATGGAAAATGAGAAGAATGATAAGGATAAGAAGATAGCAGAACTGGAGAGGTGAGAGTAGTATAAAGTTACTAGAGGAGCGAAAGAGTTGATTAAAGTTAGAGATAACTTAACTTGTCTTAAAAACCTTAGAATGCCTATTTTGGGAAAGTCTGTTTAGAGTTTTTCTGCCTTCAATCCTTTACTTTGGTAGATTGTAAGCTAAAAGGTGTCTTACTGTGTGCTTTCATTACCTGGTTGCTCAAAAATAGGGCTGATATAGATAGAAGAGTAGATAGAGCTGTAAGGAAATGGAGATGTTAGGAAAAGTTGCCCACACTATGGTGTGTTTGGAGAAAAATTTGTTCTTTGGCCTTAATAAATTCCTCAGGCATAGTTCTTCAAAAAACAACTAAGAAATATTACTTTTAAGAGTTTGTGTTACACTAGTTACTCAGGTTCTTCTGACAAGTGGCATTGAAACTCTTTTTACTGATAGAGACACAGGTAACTTTGGCTCATGTGAGGCCAAATGAACAGATTTGCTTTTGTCCAAACGAAGTGTGATTCAGCACTTTTCAGCATTTTCCGTCTTTCTGTTGGAGCCGCGGTGCTCAGATATTTTTTCTAAACATTTTATCTAAATGTCCCAAACAAAAATTACAATTTGTTACAATTCCATGACATTTATATCACAATTATAAGTAGTTGGTCTTGGGAAAGACCTGAAACAGACTTTGTTTTCTGTCATTTTCTCACCTTACAGTGGGCCAAGAGGGAGTTTCTAGACAGTAGTATCTGTTTGGGGATTTTTGTTTACTTTACCATTCGCAATGAAGAATCACTAACTTGGAACAGCAAAATGGAAATTTCATTATTCCCATTTGCCTTGTGCCAGAATAGTCTTTCTAATTTCTATCTTATCACTATTAAACTGCTCTGCATTTAGTGTCAGGAAGACTAGGGCAACTGAGTAGAGGACATTTCAAATTCTGTGTGATGGCAATAGTTATCATTCATTAGCTTGATGGTAGTCAAATTATGGGCCCCTCTGAACGACTGAAAATCTCTAAGAAGTCCATTTGGGTTTCCTTGAAAGTGACAGAGCTCTGAAAGAGTTAGCTTGTCAGCTGGGTTTCTTCTCTCTTTGTGATTGTAAGCAGCATCCTGTTAGTTTCCTTTAAGTTGTTGTTTTATTTAACCAGAATTCTCTATACCTACGGCGTAAACTGGAACACCCAAAAGTGAGGATGTGTCCTTTTTAACCGTCTTTCCTTTTTTTCTAAGTGATGTAACTTTCAGCCCATTGATAAATGATGTATTCAGCCAAACATTCAGGTGATAGGTTGGTAGAGTACGTGCGTTAAGTATAGACATGAAAAAGCTAAATAGCAGTTACAAGTCGTGTTCTTCTGTGTGATTTTTTTCAGTCCCTTAGAGGTGCCCATCTCTGGCATGAAGTTCACCGTGTCATCATCTTAGGGCATGCAAGTTGACTAGGGATCAGGGTATAAGCAACAAACTTCTATTAAAAGTAAGGTATGGGGAAGAAGTGTGTTCGTAGTGCCTTATTTTTTTCTGTGTGCAGAAGTAGTTACTGTTTAGGAAAAGCCAGTCAGAAGTATTCATCATTCCTCAACCTGATTCCTAGAGGAGATTGGAATGGCAGGAAGAGAATTTTCTTATGCACACTTTAAATGCAAGTTGATTTTTTTATTACATTAGCATTCAGAAACTCTAATCAAGATTGAGGCTTGCAGTGTCAAACACTGAATAAACACATGTAAGTGGCCTATAAACAAAGGAGTTTATACTCTACAAAGCAAAAATAACAAAGAAGAGAAATGAAGGTGAGCCTCCTTCTCTTTTACAGATAAAAGCATTGGCACCCAATCTTCAGAGTTAGAAAGGAACTTTTTCTTTGAAAAGATGCAGTTCCGGAGATCTGCAAAGCAATTTTTGTTTTTCATGTTACAGTGATAGTTTCTTTCTGTTTCAATCACAGGCCAAACTCTTTACTATAACAATGAAAGCATAAAACCTCTAGATGACTGGACATCATTCCATGACAATCTGGTGAATACTTTGACTATTTGGTGTTATCCATTCCTTCTTACCACCTGATCTTCGCTCTAACAAAGAAAAGTCTCGTCCTCTTCTCTTTCTAACTTGTCTTTTCTACCAGTACTGAGATAACATAGAATATATCTTCTTTTATTTCTAGTAATTAGAACAGGTATTTCAGCTATGTCAAAGAAAAGACTACTTCTGTTATCATGTGATTGCCAGGAGCCGTCTAAGTCAAGCAGAAAAAAAGAATCTAAGAATATTCATGTTTGCTAACCACTGTAAGTGGAAATGGAAAAGGTCTTCAAGATCTAGAGACTGAAGGTGCATCCTGTTAGTGTGGTGAATTAGTGAAATGATGGAACTGTAATATAATACAGCACTGAAGAAAAACATACAAAGTTTCAGATACTTTGTAGTGAGGTTTTGACTAGTAATTTCTCCTTTCCTGAAAAATTGTTGAAATTTCTATTTGGCCTTAGATGTTTTCAATTGCTCCCCCAAACCCTTGTTCTCTGGAAGCTTACTTTGTCCTTGTGAGTTTTTACACAGAGCAGAGATTTTTTAACATGCTCATTAAATGTATAGGTTTTATCTACCATGCTTGTTTATAAAGTATTCTTTCATGGCTGAACTGATATATCCAGGCATGTTACATAGATGTCTTAGAGCTAGAGTCTTGGTTTCCTGAAAAGAATAGATGATTTTGACTTGTATTGATTTGACTTGCTTCCTAAACTGTGATCCATGCAGAGCGAGCTAGAAACTATCTTGACTTCTAAGGCTTCTACAGCTGTTCAAACTCTGCTGTGCAAAGCAGAACCCTAGTGCTTGCAGAGGCATTCAACAGCAAGCAAAAAAAGTGAATATTGCTGTGCCTATCAGGAACCATTATTATTCCATGGAGGGCAAGATGAAAAGAAATAAGTCACATTTAGAGAATAACTGTACTAGCAAAACAGGGAATCTCTCCCTGGATTTTCTCCTTATGCTTGTTATATGTGACAACTAGACCATATGTCATCAGGAGATGAGAAATAGTAACACGGTTTCATCCACAGAAGAGGAGTTGCCTATAAGGGAGGTATGTATAGGGGAACAGAGAAGGAGAAAAGATAGGGGGAGACAAAGATTAAATGAAAAGCAGAAAACTGTTCTCTTAAGCCTTATCAGTGATGTCAAAGCTATCTTTTGTTCGAATTAAAGAGGGAAATGCTTCCGCTTTTCAGTGTTGCAATTACTGGGTGGGGGACGTTGTTTTTCAGCTCTGAATGGTAGGAAAGATATCAAAAAATAATGTGTTAAATATGGTGCATGCTACGCAAAAGTTTGAAAAACACTCTAGAGTCAACATGAGATTGAAAGCACAAGCTCATTAATTTATATTCTCTGTGGGCAAGATTTTTCTTACAGGAAGGTGGACCATAAGTCCGCATTTCTTCTGTGGGTGAACAGTCCTATAAGTTTTGTTTCTGTCCCTGGATTGTGGTGTTGTAGAGGGGTTTGTAGCTGTCTGGCTATTTGTTTTCTTTATAACTAACTGCTTTTTGTATTGCCATTCCATAATTTCCTATCTCTCTGTAACTTTTCATTTTGTGTTTTGTTTCCTTCCTCGCTTTTTCTTTCCATTTATACTGTCGTGTCCTGGTTCCACGAGTTGTTTTGTTTTGTACGTGCGGGGGTTTTTTTGACTATGCTTTTTCTCAGAAAGCACGCCTCCCGCAAATTGCACCCTCCCTACCAGGTGTCGGTCCCTGCACCACAACACGTAGGGGGGTTTGTGTGGGACTTCCTGGGAAAGTGAGTGCTCTGTAAGGCTTCTGTTTCCTACGGGGTGGAATGTCACCGCTGGCTGCCCGGCTGCTGCTGCTGCTGTTTGGGTCTGTTGCAATTATGCCTTTTTCCTTAGGTCAAACAGGAACTGGTTATGTCAAGTACAAGCTCTAACAGTCTCTGCGTTCAAATCGTGTCGCAGTGGTTATGACCACAGCCCAAAGGATGTTTGCTGCTATTCTCCCCGATTTAAACTTGATAGAAGCTGTTGCTTTTTATTCTAATTCTCTAGCCATGTGTTACCTTTGGTTCTAATCTCTGCTATCAATTCTGCCTGAACCAGTTAAACTCTAAGTATTCTAAAATATGTCATTGGTAGAGGTCAGTATTGACTTATTCTTGAGTTTTATTGTGGTTGTTAACCTGTAATATGAAAAATTAAAAAAAAAACCCAAAAGCACGTGGCTATCACAGCCTTCAGATGATAGTTTACACACAGAGTTATTTGTGTGCATATATTCTGCAAATAAGAACTGACTTCGTACTTGAGAAGTGGCAGTAAATATATATGCGTATGTTGCTTCAGAAGTAAGCACTGAGTGTATATACATGGAAGTCCTGGTTCCAGTTACAGACTTGAAATTGATTTTAATTTGGCATGCTCGCTATGCGTGATAGGTGGTCCTTGTAAGGACATAGGGCACTACAGGAAGACAGTACTCGGCTTTGGAAGACCAGCAGTCCCGTTAGGGACACATAGAAATGGTGGCTATTTTAAGAGAGAGATTTTGGGGAATTTTTCTAAAAAGAATTTAGGGGTGCCTTGTTCAAGAAGCCTTCAAACTTTTGATGTGTAGCAGCCAAAAGATATAGTCCTCGTCTTAAGTATTTCTTCTCAACAGTAAATAAAAATAAAAGATGAAAAAACATAGGGTCATCTCAAAGGTGTGCTGAAAAATATGGACAGAAGAAGGAAGTATCGTACTCTCTATGTCTTTAAGACAGTGGAATGTTGTGCAACGGTCTGTGAAGGATAGATGGAGGAAGAAATTAACTACATCTTCCTAGATTCCTAGAATACTCTAAAGGAAACTATACTAGTCAATTATGCCCTAAGCTTAAGTCACCAATTTGAAGTTGAAATACATATTTTCAAACGACTACTTGTATCTTATAATAATTGTCTTTGGTTTTCAAGTTATTTATTTCTGTGAATTTTTAAATATTTTTTT